GGAAAGGTAAGGGAGAAGGCAAGAAACAAAGTGATTTACATACCACTGAGCAATAAAACAAATTCAAGATGGCAATCTCAAATCCCTAATTTAGGGCTTTTAGAACAATTACGGCATTTGACTAGTTATTCACCTGCTTCTTGCCTCAATACTCCCCGAGCATCAAGTAGCCTGCAAGCTTCCAATGCGCACTGTATCATTGCTTCCTTCTTCTTTCCCGAATGGAGAACCTCTGCCACCAGCTGCTTTCCTGATGCATCATCCACAGGCAACCTGTTCAGTTTGAAGGATCAGAGAACAGCTCAGATACAAACAGCTTCTCACGGATGCTACTCAGATATTTTATTTATCATGTTAGCATTGTTCTTTCCATTTCACTGTAGTCTTTTTTTGTGGGTTAAATATTTTCACTTTTCATTTCATACAGTACCAATCAAAACACAAGCACAGATCTCCTAAAGCATGCAAGTAAATTTTTATTTCACTAGTCCAAACACTAATTCTTCCTGTATTCATTCCATTTGGAATACAAGAAGTTAAAAGGTTAAACGTCAATCCCTGAATCACTTTAAGCACCAATATCTTGCATCCATACCACACCAGTAACAAATATTTTCTATGCTGAAGCAAAGGTTTCCTAAGCAGTACAATCATTGCAATGTTGTACCTATCCATTTGAGACCTATTCTGTTGACTTAATTTCCATCTCACCTTCTCCTGTCTTATAAAAGAACGACATTTGTGGCCTCTTACAGGAACCCATCTTTTATACCATAAAAGAACTGAAATTGGGTACACAGTAGAATGTTACGATTTTTTTTCTCTCCCCCATTAGGAATTGAAAGATAGTCTCCTTGTTTCTTCTCTTGTATTTCAATTTCACATATTTCTCAAAACAAGGGGAACTGAAAGAACCTAGACTCTTGCTTTCCCAATTTTCATCTCTAAGGAAAATCAACTGCTGCCAGACCAGAAAGGAGTGCAGATACAGAACTAGACACTGATCCTTGAACTTCTGCCTCAGTATCAGGGCTTATGTCTAATTCCAGCTGGTATCCTTACCAAGTGTGACAAGACAAGTAATTCTTTCAGCTTTTGTTTGTGAATTCAATGAAGTCAGCTTCTATGTACAAAAGCGAATGGAGAGATACATACTTGATTTTGCATACCCAGCTATTGTGCCCACGATCATCATATTCATACTCTAACTCTTCTCCTAGAGAGGAAAAGAAAGTTGATGTAGTAACCAAAATTGAAATAAGCAGGAATAATCTTTACAGCAGAGAGGAATATCATGGTTAAACAAAAGAGATAAAATGCCCTTGTTACATATCAAAGGACTGAATCTGAGACTTTTTTTTTTTTTTAAGCCATGGGATTTTCAGTTGGTATTATGCTTATTTGGTTGTTTTTCACAATCAAGTCTTTTCAGATAAAAAAAAAAAAACACAACAACAACAACAAAAACCACCTCTAAGTGGCCTGTTCAGGAAGATGTAGTTCAAGGAAAAAAGAGTCTTGCCTCTGCATGTATTAAAGTAAATGATATTGAAGTAATGACAGTTTGCAGTCTGGATTCACAGATTCACTTCAGCAAATAAGTGAGTCATCTGTAAGTTTCGCCAGCAACCATTGAAAGTTTAGACCAATTCATTATTGCCTTTTGTCTTTTTATACTTTCCAATTCTATCTCACAATCATAGCCATCTCCAAACAGAAGTCTGGAATTTGACAGGTTTGGATTTTTCAGCATAGCTTCAAAGCATGGGTGTGGTTTGAGCATCACTCCAGAGGAATACAAGGTGTTCCCTGCAACTCCCAGTTTAGGAATTAGTAACTAAGTCTCAGATATAAAATGGTAAGCTAAGTTTTAATAATAAAAAAACCCAACCCCCCCAAAAATAAACCACCACCAACACCCCCCCCAACTTGACCAAACAAAAAACCTTACCCACAATGTAACAGAAAAGTTTAGCTCCCATACCTTAAATCCCAAAGGAAACACATGAGCACAAACAGCACGCTTTGCTAAATAGAAAAAAATTACATTTAATTAAAAAAAAAAAAAGAAGAAAAAATAGTACCTTCTCTGTCAAAAAAGCCCTGTAAGGCCTTCCTAGGATCTTTCATATAGAAGGCATCTTGTACATCCTGAAAATCAATAGCAATGGGGTTTTCTTCAACCCCATCCTCCTCAGCATCCTCCCCTAGAAGGATACATAAAAGTGCAAAAAAATTATTTCTGCATCCAATCAAAAAAAACCCCACCAAAACCCTGCTTCTTTTTTGCTATTAGTTATTCCGTCATAAGATACAGTTTCGCAGACGAACGTCACTGCAGTTTCAGCGCTTTCAAGGGTTTATGTGCTTATACATTTCCATTCAAAAGGCCAACTCATTTTGTACTGAAAAGCTCATTAATCACAATTTATCCAGCTTTAAGATGTGGACTTCCTGTTTAAATTTAAGGACAGCTATACTGCATAGATGTCTCAAGCAATTACATTTCACCTCTCGGGCAAAAGTGTGGACATCATCACAGGAACAAAATACAAAACATTAAACTAAACTCTCAGTTTCATGGCCCTTTATTGGTGTAGACAAATTACCTTCTTCCTTTTAAAAGGAGCTCTAGCATACTTCTCACCAGATATAAGCTTGCCTTCTCACAGCACTCTTCTTTTTAAAAGGAAAAGGATTATTTTGTACTCAAGAACTTCCACTGGATCGGAACACTTAGCAACCAGCTGGAATTTCAACCCTAGCATTCACTGAAAACTGGCTGAAAGACCATCCAAGGAGTGTCAGCTGATTTATACATCACCACTTACCCATTCCCCACGAGCAGCTCATATCAGTGTTCTGACTCCTCTCGCTTCTCTCCTCTTTTTCATCTTCTTCATCAGAGTCCTCTCCCAACATTGTCTTTTCTAACTTCGCTTGCTGCTGCTTATGCAGTGCCTTCAGTTGAGTCACAGTTAGCTCTGACTCACACTCCAGGTCCTCTTTGGGTCCCTAAGTCACAAACAGTAACTTAGCATAAGTGTTTTTTAAAAGAAACAAAGAAAAGAAGTATTTTGAACACATGTGCAGATTATGTACAATAACAAACAAATCATTATAGTGCTCTTCAAAAAGTGGAATCATTAGACCATTTGTTATGGTTTGCATCCCAAATATATTAGTTTTAACTCCCTTTCC